GCTAAACCATCAATACAGGAGGCACGTGGCCGAGACTGTACTAAACCAACAGTACAGGAGAGCACCGTGGCCGACACTGTACTAAACCATCGATACAGGAGGCACGTGGCCGACACTGTACTAAACCATCAGTACGGGAGGCACAGTGGCCGACACTGTACTAAACCATCAGTACAGAAGGAGGCACGTGGCCGACACTGTACTAAACCATCAGTACAGGAGGCACAGTGGCCGTACTGTACTAAACCATCGAGTACAGGAGGCACCGTGGCCGACACTGTACTAAACCATCAGTACAGGAGGCACGTGGCCGAGACTGTACTAAACCAATAACAGTACAGGAGGCACCGTGGCCGACACTGTAAACCATCAGTACAGGAGGCACCGTGGCCGACACTGTACTAAACCATCAGTACAGGAGGCACAGTGGCCGACGCTGTACTAAACCATCAGTACAGGAGGCACGTGGCCGAGACTGTGCCTAAACCATCAGTACAGGAGCACCGTGGCCGACACTGTAAACCATCAGTACAGGAGGCACCGTGGCCCGACGCATGCTAAACCATCAGTACAACAGGAAGCACACCGTGGCCGAGACTGTACTAAACCATCGAGTACAGGAAACATCGTGGCCGACACTGTACTAAACCATCAGTACAGGAGGCACAGTGGCCGACACTGTACTAAACCATCAGTACAGGAGGCACCGTGGCCGAGACTGTACTAAACCAACAACAGGAGGCACCGTGGCTGACACTTGTACTAAACCATCAGTACAGAGGCACGTGGCCGACACTGTACTAAACCATCAGTACAGGAGCACGTGGCCGAGACTGTACTAAACCATCAGTACAGGAGCGTGGCCGACACTGTACTAAACCATCAGTAGGAGGCACCGTAGCCGACACTGTACTAAACCATCAGTACAGGAGGCACCGTGGCCGAGACTGTATAAACCAACAGTACAGGAAGGCACCGTGGCCGACACTGTACTAAACCAACAGTACAGGAGGCACCGTGGCCGACACTGTACTAAACCATCAGTACAGGAGGCATCGTGGCCGACACTGTACTAAACCAACAGTACAGGAGGCACCGTGGCCCGAGACTGTACTAAACCACCAGTACAGGAAGCATCATTGGCCGACACTGTACTAAACCATCAGTACAGGAGGCACAGTAGCTAGGCACTGTACTAAACCATCAGTACAGGAGGCGTGGCCGACACTGTACCCTAAACCATCAGTACAGGAAGCACCGTGGCCGAGACTGTACTAAACCATCAGTACAGGGAGGCACCGCTGACCGAGACTGTGCTAAACCAACAGTACAGGAAGCACCGTGGCCGACACTGCTAAACCCATCAGTACAGGAGGCACGTGGCCGACTGCTGTACTAAACCAACAGTACAGGAGGCACGCGTGGCCGACACTGTGCCTAAACCATCAGTACAGGAGGCACCGTGGCCGAGACTGTGCTAAACCATCAGTACAGGAGGCACCGTGGCCCGGCCCCACTGTACTAAACCATCAGTACAGGAGGCACGTGGCCGAGACTGTACTAAACCAACAGTACCGCTTTTAGGAGGCACCGTGGCCGACACTGCACCTGAAAAACCATCAGTACAGGGCACGTGGCGAGACTGTGCTAAACCATCAGTACAGGAGGCACGTGGCCGACACTGTACTAAACCATCAATACAGGAGCACCGTGGCCGAGACTGTATGCTAAACCAACAGTACAGGAGGCACGTGGCCGACACTGTACTAAACCAGCCAGTACAGGAGGCACAGTGGCCTACACTGTACTAAACCATCAGTACAGGAGGCACATTGGCCATTACTGTACTAAACCATCAGTACAGGAGGCACCGTGGCCGAGACTGTACTAAACCAACAGTACAGGAGGCACCGTGGCCGACACCAGCCGCTAAACCAACAGTACAAGGAGGCACCGTGGCCGACACTGTGCCTAAACCATCAGTACAGGAGGCATGGTGGCCGACACTGTACTAAACCAACAGTACAGGAGGCACGTGGCCGAGACTGTACTAAACCACACCAGTACAGGAGGCACCGTGGCTGACACTGTACTAAACCAACAGTACAGGAAACATCGTGGCCGAGACTGTACTAAACCATCAGTAGGAGGCACCGTGGCCGACACAGCCGCTAAACCAACAGTACAGGAAGCATGCATTGGCGAGGACGTACTAAACCATCAGTACAGGAGCGCATTGGCTGACGCATGCTAAACCAACAGTACCAGGAAGCATCGTGGCCGAGACTGTGCTAAACCATCAGTACAGGAGGCACCGTGGCAGGCACTGTACTAAACCATCAGTACAGGAGGCACGTGGCCGACACTTGTACCTAAACCATCAGTACAGGAGGCACGTGGCCGAGACTGGCACTAAACCATCAGTACAGGAGGCACGTGGCCAACACTGTACTAAACCATCAGTACAGGAAGCACCGTGGCCGACGCAGCACTTCTGAAGCCATCAGTACAGGAGGCACCGTGGCCGACACTGTACTAAACCATCAATACAGGAGGCACCCGTGGCCGACGCATGCCTAAACCATCAGTACAGGAGGCACCGTGGCCGACACTGTATAAACCATCAGTACAGGAGGCACGTGGCCGAGACTGTACTTAAACCAACAGTACAGGAAGCACCGTGGCCGAAGGACTGTACTAAACCATCAGTACAGGAGGCACCGTGGCTGAGACTGTACTAAACCATCAGTACAGGAGGCACGTGGCCGACACTGTACTAAACCATCAGTACAGGAGGCACCGTGGCCGAGACTGTACTAAACCACCATCAGTACAGGAGAACTGCGTGGCCGACACTGTACTAAACCATCAGTACAGGAGGCACCGTGGCGAGACTGTACTAAACCAACAGTACAGGAAGCACCGTGGCCGACACGCTGTACTAAACCATCAGTACAGGAGGCACCGTGGCCGACACTGTACTAAACAATCAGTACAGGAGCACCGTGGCCGAGACTTCCTGTACTAAACCATCAGTACAGGAGCACCGTGGCCGACACTGTCGGCTCATCAGTACAGAGGCACGTGGCCGGGGCTGTACTAAACCAACAGTACAGAGCACGTGGCCGACACTGTACTAAAACCATCAGTACAGGAGGCACCGTGGCCGACGCTGTACTAAACCATCAGTAGGAGGCACAGTGGCCTACACTGTACTAAACCATCAGTACAGGAGGCACCGTATTGCGACACTGTACTAAACCGTACAGGAGGCACAAGTGGCCCGAGACTGTACTAAACCAACATTACCAGGAGGCACCGTGGCCGACACAACATAAACCAACAGTACAGGAAGCACCGTGGCCGACACTGTACTAAACCATCAGTACAGAGACACCGTGGCCGACACTGTACTAAACCATCAGTACAGGAAGCATCGTGGCCGACACTGTACTAAACCAACAGTACAGGAGGCACCGTGGCCGAGACTGTATACACCAGTACAGGAGGCACCGTGGCTGACGCTGTACTAAACCAACAGTACCAAGGGAAGCATCGTGGCCGGGGAACTGTACTAAACCATCAGTGAGCACCGTGGCCGACACTATACTAAACCAACAGTACAGGAAGCATCGTGGCCGAGACTGTACTATAAACCATCCAGTACAGGAGGCACCGTGGCTGACACTGTACTAAACCAACAGTACAGGAAGCATCGTGGCCCGAGACTGTACTAAACCATCAGTACCAGGAGGCACCGTGGCTTGACACTGTACTAAACCAACAGTACAGGAAGCACTGTGGCCGACACTGTCGCCTATACATCAGTACAGGAGGCGCACCGTGGCCGAGACTGTACTAATCTATCAATACAGGAGGCACCGTGGCCGAGACTGTACTAAACCAGCAGTACAGGAAGCACCGTGGCCGAGATGGTGCTAAACCATCAGTACAGGAGGCACAGTGGCCGACACTGTGCCTAAACCATCAGTACAGGAGGCACCGTGGCCGGACACAGTAGCTTCAACCATCAGTACAGGAGGCACCGTGGCCGACACTGTACTAAACCATCAGTACAGGAAGCACCGTGGCCGACGCTGTACTAAACCATCAGTACAGGAGGCACCGTGGCCGAGACTCTGCTAAACCATCAGTACCGCAGGAGGCACCGTGGCCGACACTGTACTAAACCAACTTATTACAGGAAGCTTCGTGGCCGACACTGTACTAAACCATCAGTACAGGAGGCACAAGTAGCCCGGCTGCTGTACTAAACCATCGGTACAGGGAGGCACCGTGGCCGACACTGTATTAAACCATCAGTACAGGAGCACCGTGGCCGAGACTGTACTAAACCATCATTACAGGGCTTACCGTGTGACACTGTACTAAACCATCAGTACAGGAGGCACAGTGGCCAACACTGTACTAAACCATCAGTAGGAAACTGTGTACGACACTGTACTTCATCAGTACAGGAAGCACCGTGGCCGACACTGTACTAAACCATCAGTACAGGAGCTGCGTGGCCGACACTGTACTAAACCATCAGTACAGGAGGCACGGTGGCCGACACTGTACTAAACCATCAGTACAGGAGGCACCGTGGCCGACACTGTACTAAACCATCAGTACAGGAGGCACCGTGGCCGACATTGTACTCGACCACCTTCACTTCCTCAACTGTATAGTCAGGTGCACATTATACCTGAGTGGACTGACGGTGTTACGGCAGCGAACCAGCGACTCTGAGAACGGGAGGTGAGCCTTATAACCACTCAGTCGTGGCAGAAAAATCAGCAGTACGTATTTAACAAGTGTCAGCAAAACGTGATTAATAAGTGTCAGCAGCACGCGGTTAACAAGTGTCAGCAGTACGTATTTAACAAGTGTCAGCAGTATGTAGGTAACAAGTATCAGCAGGACGTGGTTAACAAGTGTCAGCAGGACGTGGTTAACAAGTGTCAGCAGTAATGATTAACAAGTGTCGCATTATGTAGTTAACAAGTATCAGCAGGACGTGGTTAACAAGTATCAGCTGCACGTGGTTAACAAGTGTCAGCAGTCCGTATTTAACAAGTGTCAGCAGTACGTATTTAACAAGTGTCAGCAGTACGACAAGTGTCAGCCGCAGGTTAACAAGTATCAGCAGGACGTGGTTAACAAGTGTCAGCTGCACGTGGTTAACAAGTGTCAGCTGCACGTGGTTAACAAGGGTCAGCAGCACGTGATTAATAAGTGTCAGCAGCACGTGGTTAACAAGTGTCAGCAGAACGTGGTTAACAGCAAGTGTCAGCAGCAAGTGCGCTAACAAGTGTCAGCAGTACGCAGTAAACAAGTGTCAGCAGCGCGTGGTTAACAGGTGTCAGGAGCACGTTTACGAGTGTTAGCAGCACGTGGAACAGCAAGTGTCAGCAGCACGTGGTTAACAAGTGTCAGCGGCACGAAGTTAACAAATGTCAGTGGCACGTGGTTAACAACTGTGAGCAGCATGCAGTTAACAAGGCGTGAGCAGCACGTGGTTAACGTGTCAGCAGCACGTAGTTAACAAGTGTCAGCAGCACGTGGTTAACAAGTGTCAGCAGCACGTGGTTAACAAGTGTGAGCAGCACGGTTAACGTCAGGAGCACGTAGTTAACAAGTGTCAGCAGCGCGAGGTTAACAAATATCACAGCAGACGTGGTTAACAAGTGTCAGTAGCACGTTGTTAACACGTGTCAGCAGCACGTGGTTAACAAGTGTCAGCAGCACGTAGTTACCAAGTGTCGCAGCGCACGTAGTTAACAAGTGTCAGCGCAGCGGTTAACAACTGTGAGCAGCACGTAGTTGACAAGTGTCAGCAGCACGTGGGTTAACAAGTATCACCAGCACGTAGTTAACAAGGTGTCAGCAGCACGTAGTTAACAAGTGTGAGCACGTGGTCAATAACTGTCAGCAGCACGTAGTTGACAAGTGTCAGCAGCACGTGGTTGACAAGTGTCAGCAGCACGTACAAATGCGTCAGCAGCATGTGGTCAATAACTGTCAGCAGCACGTAGTTGACAAGTGTCAGCAGCACGTGGTTGACAAGTGTCAGCAGCACGTAGTTAACAAGTGTCAGCAGCATGTGGTCAATAACTGTCAGCAGCACGTAGCTGATAAGTGTCAGCAGCACGTGGTTGACAAGTGTCAGCAGCACGTAGTTAACAAGTGTCAGCAGCATGTGGTCAACAACTGTCAGCAGCACGTAGTTGACAAGTGTCAGCAGCACGTGGTTGACAAGTGTCAGCAGCACGTAGTTAACAAGTGCCGCAGCACGTGGTTAACAACTGTGAGCAGCACGTAGTTGACAAGTGTCAGCAGCACGGGTTAACAAGTGTCAGCAGCATGTGGTCAATAACTGTCAACAGCACGTGGTTGACAAGTGTCAGCAGCACGTAATTAACAAGTGTCAGCAGCACGTAGTTAACAAGTGTCAGCAGCACGTAGTTAACAAGTGTCAGCAGCATGTGGTCAATAACTGTCAACAGCACGTGGTTGACAAGTGTCAGCAGCACGTAGTTAACAACTGTGAGCAGCACGTAGTTGACAAGTCAGCAGCACGGTTAACAAGTATCACCAGCACGTAGTTAACAAGTGTCAGCAGCACGTAGTTAACAAGTGTTAGCAGCACGTGGTTAACAAGTGTCAGCAGCACGTTGTTTAACAGTGTCGCAAAACGTGCTTAACAAGTGTCAGCAGCACGTGGTTAACAAGTGTCAGCACGTTGTTTAACAGTGTCAGCAGCATGTGGCAATGTCAGCAGCACGTTGTTTAACAGTGTCAGCAGCATGTGGTTAACAAGTGTCAGCAGCACGTTGTTTAACAGTGTCAGCAGCATGTGGTTAACAAGTGCGCAGCACGTTGTTTAACAGTGTCAGCAGCACGTTGTTTAACAGTGTCAGCAGCATGTGGTTAAGAAGTGTCAGCAGCACGTTGTTTAAGTGTCAGCAGCACGTTGTTTAACAGTGTCAGCAGCATGTGGTTAACAAGTGTCAGCAGCACGTGGTTTAACAGTGTCAGCAGCATGTGGTTAACAAGTGTCAGCAGCACGTTGTTTAACAGTGTCAGCAGAACGTGGTTAACAACAAGTATCAGCAACATGAAGTTAACAAGGTCAGCAGCACGTTGTTTAACAGTGTCAGCAGAACGTGCTTAACAAGTGTCAGCAGCACGTGGTTAACAAGTGTCAGCAGCACGTTGTTTAGTGTCAGCAGCATGTGGTTAACAAGTGTCAGCAGCATGTGGTTAACAAGTGTCAGCAGCATGTGGTTAACAAGTGTCAGCAGCACGTTGTTTAACAGTGTCAGCAGCATGTGGTTAACAAGTGTCAGCAGCACGATGTTTAACAGTGTCAGCAGCATGTGGTTAACAAGTGTCAGCAGCACGTTGTTTACTGTGTCAGCAGCACGTTGTTTAACAGTGTCAGCAGCATGTGGTTAACAGTGTCAGCAGCACGTTGTTTAACAGTGTCAGCAGCACGTTGTTTAACAGTGTCAGCAGCACGTGGTTAACAAGTGTCAGCAGCACGTTGTTTAACAGTGTCAGTAGCATGTGGTTAACAAGTGTCAGCAGCACGTTGTTTAACAGTGTCAGCAGCACGTGGTTAACAACAAGTATCAGCAACATGAAGTTAACAAGTGCCAGCAGCATGTGGTCAACAACTGTCAGCAGCAAAGGGTTAACAACAAATGTCAGCAGTACGTATAACGACAAGTGTGAGCAGCACGTGGTTAACAACAAGTGTCAGCAAGACGTTGTTTACGAGTATCAGCAGCACGTGGTGAGCAGTCAGGAGGAAGCAGGTAGTTAGGTAGGTAATTGAGGGACCACCAACCCGGACTGCTGCCCTACACCACACTACACTACACTGCCCTACACTACACTGCCCTACACCACACCACACTACACTTACACTCACACTACACTGCCCTACACTACACCACACTGCCTCTACCCCTACACTACACTGCCCTACACTACACTACACTACACTACACTGCCCTACACTACACTACACTGCCCTACACTACACCACACTGCCCCACACTATACTACACTGCCCTACCATACACCTCACACTGCCCTACCCCACACTACACTCACACTACACTGCCCTACACTATACTGCCCTACACTACACTGCCCCTACACTACATTGCCTTACACTACACTGCCCTGCACCACACTGCCCTACACCACACTACACTACACTGCCTTACACTATACCACACACCGCTAAACTACAATGCACTGCCCACTACACACACTGCCTTACACTACACTACACACTGCCCTACACCACACCACACTGCCTTACACTACACTACACTGCCCCTACACACCACACTACACACTACACTGCCTTACACTCACACTGCCTCTACACCACACTACACTGCTCACACTACACCACACTGCCCTACACCACACCACACTGCCCTACACTACACACCACCCTACACCACACCACACTACACTATACTACACTGCCCAACACTACACTGCCCTGCCCTACACTACACACTGCCCTACACCACACTACACTGCCCTCACACCACACTACACTGCCCTACACCACACTACACCTCGCCCTACACCACACTACACTGCCCTACACCACACACTACACTCATTACACTGCCCTACACCACACCTCACACTGCCCAACACCACACTACACTACACTGCCCTACACCACACTACACTGCCCTACACCACACTACACTGCCCTACACTACACTACACTGCCCTACACCACACCACACTGCCCCACACCACACTACACTCACACTGCCCTACACCACACTACACTGCCCCACACCACACTACACCACACTGCCCTACACCACACCACACTGCCCTGCCCTACACTACACTACACTGCCCCCTGCCCTACACTACACTACACCTCGCCCTACACCCCACACCACACCACACTGCCCCACACCACACCACACCACACTCGCCCCACACCACACCTACACTGCCCTACACCACACCCACACCTACACACCGCACTACACCACACCACACTGCCCTACACCACACTACACCACACTGCCCTACACCACACCACACTGCCCCTCCACCACACTACACTGCCCCTGCCCTACACTACACTACACTGCCCTACACCACACTACACTGCCCTACACTACACTGCCCTACACCACACCACACTACACCACACCACACTGCCACCACACCCACACTGCCCTACACTCACACTGCCCTACACCACACTACACACTACACCACACCACACTACACACTGCCCTACACTACACTACACTACACTACACTGCCCACACCACACCACACTGCCCCTACACTACACCACACTACACTACACCACACTGCCCCTACACCACACCACACTGCCCTACACTACACTGCCATACACCACACTACACTACACCACACCACACTACACTGCCCTCACACCACACTACACCACACTACACTGCCCTACACTCACACTGCCCTACACCACACTACACCACACCACACTGCCCTACACCACACTGCCCTACACCACACTACACTACACCACACTACACTGCCCTACCCCTACACTACACCACACTGCCCGTCTCTACACTACACCCCACTGCCCCACACCCCACTCTGCCCTACACACCACCACACTCACACTACACCACACCACACTGCCCTACACCACACTACACACTGCCCTACACCACTACACTGCCCCCACACCACACACACACCACACTCAACTGCCCTACACCACACCTACACCACCCCACACTACACCACACTGCCCTACACCACACTACACTGCCCTACACTACACTGCCCTACACCACACTACACCACACCACACCACACTACACTGCCCTACACCACACCACACTCACACCTACACCACACTACACTGCCCTACACTACACTACACTACACTACACCTACACTGCCCTACACCACACTACACTGCCCTACACTACACTGCCCTACACCACACTACACTCACACCACACCACACTACACTGCCCACACCACTACACCACCTCACTGCCCACACTCACACTGCCCTACACCACACTACACCACACTACACTGCCCCTACACTACACTGCCCTACACCACACTACACACTACACCACACTACACTGCCCTCTACCCCTACACTACACTACACTGCCCTGCCCTACCCTACACTACACACTTCACTGCCCTCCACCACACTGCCCCACACCACACTACACCACACCACACCACACTACACCGCCCCACCACACACCACACTGCCCCTACACCACACTACACTGCCTCTACACCACACTACACCACACTACACTGCCCTACACCACACTACACTACCCTACACTACACTACACTGCCCCACACCACACTACACCACACTGCCCTTCACTACACTACACCACACACTACACTGCCCTACACCACACTACACTGCCCTACACCACACCACACTGCCCTACACCACACTACACCACACTACACCGCCCACACCACACTACACCACCCTACACACACTACACTGCCCTACACCACACTACACACTGCCCTACACCACACTACACTACACCACACTACACTGCCCTACACTACACTGCCCTACACCACTACACTGCCCGACACTACACTGCCCTACACCACACTACACTGCCCTACACCACACTACACTGCCCTCACACTACACTACACTGCCCTACACCACACTACACTACACTACCCTACACCACACTACACTCACACTGCTCTACACCACACTACACCGCTCCTACACCACACTACACTACACCACACTACACTGCCCTACACTCCACTACTACACCACACTACACTACACCACACTACACTCACACCACACTACACCACACACTACACTACACCACACCACACTACACCACACCACACACTGCCCTACACCACACTACACACTACACTCACACTGCCCTACACTCACACTGCCCTACACCACACTACACCTACACTACACACTCTTCACTGCCCTACACTCACACTACGCTACACTACACTACACCACACATTACACTGCACACTACTCTACACTATCCTACACCACACTACACCACACCGCCCTACACCACACTCACACTACACCACCCTACACCACACACTACACTACACTGCCCTACACTACACCACACAACACTACACCGCCCCTACACACACCACACCATCCTACACCACACTACACTACACCGCCCCACACTACACTACACACTACCCTACACCACACCACACTGCCCTACACTCACACTACACTACACAACACTACACTGCCCTACACTACACTCCACCACACAACACTACACTGCCCTACACTACACTATCCTACACCACACTACACTACACTGCCCTATTACACTACCCTACACCACACTACACCACACTACATGTCTGTATGTATGTATGTATGTAATGAGGGAGTAAGTAGGGGTGGAGGGGAAGGAGGAGGAGGAGGAGGAGGAGGAGGACCACTGGAGAAGCAGGTGATGAAACACAATCCTCCACATTGGTTATTCCCATGTGACGCCTCCTTCTTCCCTTCCTCCTCCTCTTTCCATCTTTTCCT